TTGCGATATGCTCGTGTCCTTGCCTATTACACCAAGAGGAAACTGTTGCATTCTGGTGGTTTGTGATTATGGGACTCGCTGGGTGGAGGCTTTTGCCTTACCCAACCAAACAGCAGACACTATTGCCTGTATATTAGTCGATGAGGTTTTCTTCAGGTATGGGTTGCCTGATGCCCTTCATTCTGATCAAGGGCCCAACTTTGAATCATATTTGTTAAAGGCAATATGTCATTTGCTTGGTATTAAAAAAACTCGAACGACACCATATCATCCTAGAGGCAATGGGTTAGTTGAACGCATGAATGCAACTATTAAAAAATGCCTTGCATCCCTTGCAATTGACTATCCACAAGACTGGGACTTAAAACTCCCTTCAGTGTTGTTTGCCATTCGTACAAGTCTACAGAGCTCTCTCAAGGTGTCTCCTTATGAGGTTACGTGTAGTAACGTGAATCTTCTTGAAGTAATTCATCTTGCCAGCAAAAACTGATATCACAAAAAGCAGCACTCACTCTGGATGCAGTCATTGGAGATCATGAAGAAATGATTACTGATAACACTGGATGTAGGTAAATGTTCACCACAACCTGCAGCACGCACATCCTCGGCAATGATGGGTCAGGCCTTCAAAGTTCGGAAAAAATGTTTTCCAACCAACCATTGCTTCAATGTATTTAAAAGGGTATAGTCCTATTAAGCAAATACTTAGGCCTAAAGGTTAACAGCAATACATGGCTATCCTAGACCTATACAAAACAAAGCACCAACATCCTCAAGGCATCCACTCCGAATACACTAACAAGTATTACCATCAGGGGCCCGCATAAACGTGGGTGACAGTGATGGCATTACCCCATCACATGGCTCAACCATAATAAACAATTTGTCCCCAAATTTAACAATTCAAATAAACAGAAGACAACCACAGTGCTCAAAAGGAAACAAAACAAAAACAAAAGAAAGTTGTGAATAACCCAAGAGGAATACGTTGAGGTAGTAAAAGGACTTGGTGTTTCTAGGTATTTTCACCCGCCAAACAAACCCCCCCCCCCCCCAAACAAAAAAAAAAGTTTACTCTGAATTAGGCTTTCTTGGCGTAACATGCCAGGAAGCAACAGGCAATTTTGTGCCTTTATTTGATTGAATTTTATGAATCAATGGAGTTGAGAATGGAAAAGGCAACTGAGGAGGTTGTTCCTTTTTTTCCGTATGACCTGTAGGTGTTAGCCAACTATGTTTTATTAAGTTAATCTGTCCAGTACAGACGCGTGCCTGAAAATGAGCATCTCGTGCCAAGGATTCAAGACTGTCAAGTTGCTTCTCTATTTGTACAACTTTTTCAGATGAAACCTCATTACTATCATACAATTTGCATTCCAGTATTTCCATGTATGCCAAAACTTTTGCTTGTTCTTCTTTTAAAGACTGTACCAACTCATCTGAATTCTTAGTATCATCTGCCCCTGACATAGTAATACTGGTTGATTTTTCAGGTTTTGTTGCTATTGCATCTACGGCATAATAATCCTGCAAACGCACTGGAGGATTTATCCTTCTACCAGTACGACTCACATAGGGTTGGAATTCACGAACTGGCATATCTGGGTCCATATCATTCTGAGATGATTGTATACTACCTGTTTTGGTAGTAGGTGACTTATTCATATCCCCATTAGGGGGTAAATTAGTCTCCTGAGCAACAGGTACTACCTCATAACTACCATTCTCGTCATCATTGTCAATACTATTTCTATTATGAGACAAAGAGGAATGTGTTGAAGGCACAATTACAGTTTGCTGTTTGGGCCGTTCCAACAATAGCTTAACATTATTAATATTCTCCCTATGGATTTTGTTTGAACTATCAATGAGTTCAAGAACACCATTTGGCAAGATGTTCTGTATCCTATACCTACCTGCCCACTTAGGACATAGCTTGGGATATTCACCCGGTCGAGGCCTATATGCCTTCTGAACATCACTAATTTGCAAAAGTGAAGGAGGAAAATGCCTATCAAATTACATTTTGTCTTGTTCATTGTCATTGAGCTCTGTAGACTTGTACGAATAGCAAACAACACTGTAGGGAGTTTTAAGTCCCAGTTTTGTGGATAGTCAATTGCAAGGGATGCAAGGCATTTCTTAATAGTTGCGTTCATGCGTTCAACTAACCCATTGCCTCTAGGATGATATGGTGTCGTTCGAGTTTTTTTAATACCAAGCAAATGACATATTGCCTTTAACAAATATGATTCAAAGTTGGGGCCTTGATCAGAATGAAGGTCATCAGGCAACCCATACCTAAAGAAAACCTCGTTGACTAATATACGGGCAATAGTGTCTGCTCTTTGGTTGGGTAAGGCAAAAGCCTCCACCCAGAGAGTCCCATAATCACAAACCACCAGAATGCAACAGTTTCCTCCTGGTGTAATAGGCAAGGACACGAGCACATCGCAAGCCCAGATAGATAATGGTTGCGCAATAGGCATTGAATGCAAAGGCTCCTGAGTGGCAGGTCGCTTAACATGGAAAGATTGACATATAAAGCAAGTGGATATCCAATCCCGTACTGATTCCTCCATACGCCACCAATAATACCTATCCTGCAACCTAGCCATGGTTTTTTGCACACCTAGGTGTCCAGCAGTTGGATTGTTATGAGCCATTCGCAAAAGTGTCTGTCTCCCAGACACTGGAACCAAAATACGTTGCTTATATTGAAGGTATCCATTTGGACAAGTGATCTCATCACGTTTGACTAGATGCAAGTAATGGGAGAGCTCTGCATCCATTCTAACATCAGGAATTTCCACATACCTATTGCTTATTTTATCCAATATCACAGACAATTTTGTTCAACAACGTTGCTGTTGAAGTAGGTCATAAGCGTTCCACCCTGAACAAAGTTGTACAGTTGCAATACCAGAAGAATCTGAAGGGAGTGGTGGAAAAATATCCTCATTGGCTTCATTTAAACTATTTTGTGAATCAGGAAGTGGCACACGAGATAAACCATATGCTTGCAGATTAGATTTGCCAGGCCGATATTCAATAGAATACTGGAACTGTTCAAGTTCCATAACCCACCGTGCAAGACGGCCTTTGGGATCTTTGAGGGATCGCAAATACTTAAGAGGGGCGTGATCTGTTCGGAGCACAAAGGGTTGTTGTGTCAAGTACGCTCGAAAGTGTCGAGTTCCCCATACAATAGCAAGTGCCTCTCTTTCTGTTGCTGAATAATTCCTCTCCCTGCTATTANTCGAGTTCCCCATACAATAGCAAGTGCCTCTCTTTCTGTTGCTGAATAATTCCTCTCCCTGCTATTAAGCATTTTGCTGGCAAAAGCAATAGGGTGTTCCTTCCCATTTACTTTTTGAGATAAGACTGCACTTAAACCAACACCAGAAGCATCTGTGTCAAGAATGAATGGTTTAGGAAAGGCCGGTATAGGAGCCTCCAATATGGCAGCTTTAAGCTGTGGAAAAGATTGGAATGCTGTTGGTGAACAGTTTACCCATGCTTTCTTCTCAGTCATAGCCACTAGAGGCTTAGCAATTGTTGATAAATTATTGATGAATCTTCTGTAATAGGAGACTAAACCATGAAAGCTACGGCCTTCCTTAACATTCAATGGAAATTTCCATTCCTGAATTGCTTGAACTTTAGCAGGATTGAACTTTAGCAGTCCTCCCTGGGGGAGGACCTGCCACACCTGATAAAGTATGTACTATTGTTTATTAGCGTAGCGTTCGTTCGCAATGAAGAGTTCAAACATACTCAGTGAGTGCTTGAAGCGACAAGAAAGGGGGAAGAGTGGAAAAGGGGGCCCTTATGTGAATATTGCCCGAAGTCTCACAATTCATTTTGGCGACCCTGACTATGTTACACGCTTAGCCTAGGCCATAAATGTCTAACTTGACTGAGATGGTGGCGGGATGGAACCCTTCAGGAATGGTTGGACCCACATTCGCACATCTTGCACCGAAGTTTCAATTGCTAAAAGCCTACGCTTTTTGAAAGCCAACTTTTGAAGAGGACTTGGCCGGTGTGACCCCCACGGCTCAAACCGACCGGAAGTTCGTGGAAGTCTTCCACGCATCATCTTGAGAACGGGATGGAGGTGCTGCTGGTTAATATCGTTGCGAGGGCCGCTGAGTTTTAGGGCTGCTGACTGAACTCGGGGATTCCGGAGAAACAGTTCATGGACATCCGCGGATCAGGGTGCCCGTCTCACGCTCGCACTTCCTCTCTGGTCTTCGCAACAGTCGCATCCGTTCTTGAGTATGGGAGAGAGAGTCATTGCACGCCTTGCGCCCCCCCCCCCCCCCCCCCCCGATAACCAAGGGATGTTCACATCTCGATGAGCTTTCCGATGGGAAAACCCAGACNTCATATCCCCATTAGGGGGTAAATTAGTCTCCTGAGCAACAGGTACTACCTCATAACTACCATTCTCGTCATCATTGTCAATACTATTTCTATTATGAGACAAAGAGGAATGTGTTGAAGGCACAATTACAGTTTGCTGTTTGGGCCGTTCCAACAATAGCTTAACATTATTAATATTCTCCCTATGGATTTTGTTTGAACTATCAATGAGTTCAAGAACACCATTTGGCAAGATGTTCTGTATCCTATACCTACCTGCCCACTTAGGACATAGCTTGGGATATTCACCCGGTCGAGGCCTATATGCCTTCTAAACAACATCACCAATTTGCAAGAGTGGAGGAGGAAAATGCCTACTATCAAAGTACATTTTTTGTCTTGTTTGGGCTTCTTGTAAATTCTTTTGCAAATTTTGTAGTGCCTCCACTTGCTTAACAGAACTGCGGCTAGGAAGGTTGCCAGGTATCGATTCCTGATAACACAAATCAAGAGGGATTTTTTGGTGAAATATGAAAAAGGGCCTCATAAGGAGACACCTTGAGAGAGCTCTGTAGACTTGTACGAATGGCAAACAACACTGAAGGGAGTTTTAAGTCCCAGTCTTGTGGATAGTCAATTGCAAGGGATGCAAGGCATTTTTTAATAGTNCTGAGCCGAAACGACACAGATTTCAAAAGGATCGAAAGGCTGATGCAGAAAACAATCCAAAATCACGGAGATGGTTTTCATTTTTACAAATACAACATTGAAAAAGTACACATTCATTCAACTCTGTTTATTTGCCAGCGCTAAAATTTTTTAAGGTAAAATGTGTCATTCTAAACCATGCAGATTGAACGGATCAAGAACGATGCCTTGATGAAGAAATACAATAAAAAGATGAAAGAATTCCTTAAAAATAAATCACGTATGGTGAACGAAAAAGAGCTATTTCACGGTTCCCCAAACGCTGATGATATCGTCCATGAAGGCTTCGATGAGAAACAGTCAACGGATGGCATGTATGGACGTGGTGAGTCGAAATTATTGCATAATATAATGTGTACAACTTCCCAACCATACATTTCCATTCATCACATAAGTCAGAAGCAATATTCACTTATAATGTTCCTCTTATCTCCAGGGATCTACTTTGCTGAGGATTCCTCAAAAAGCAACAAGTACGTGTTTCCTCGTGATTGGTCATGTCTGAAACATGGTAGCATAAAAATTCAGCGTCGACGTTGCTACGAATGCAAAAGGTTTGCCTGGTATTTATATTACTATTTCCCAACTATCTGAATATGTATTTGAGAGAAATTTGAGGTTTGTCTCCATGGAAATATCCAGAAAAATGCTACTTTGCAAGGTGATGCTAGGGAAGTCCAAAAATATGACCAAGAAATTGAGAAAAGATGATGTTTTGGCTGGATATGACTCCGTAACAGGACGAGCTGCCAAAGACGGTCTCAACTACGAGGAATATGTTGTCTACCGTGGCGAACAGGTCTCTCTCAGTTCTTGTGGCTTGCATGGCTTTGTAGCGCGATGGAGTCGTCATAAACTTCAATTTCTTTTTATGAATTTCAGGCATATCCGGAGTACGTGATCACCTATACGATCGTGAAACCCGATTGAAGCAATGAAGAGTAACGGGAGTGTCTCTCAGCCATATGCAATAAAACTTTTTCAAAGGAGGCATTGGTGGTTTTGAATGGCATGAATCCTTCACAAGAACACTCGAAGCAGACATTCCATCAGTTCATTTTCCACCATCAGACTGAAATGAGTGCATTGTGATTACAAACATAGTTCAAAATTGTATTATATTGTGCTTATTTGATACGGATTGAACTAGTTAAGGTATGAGTTCATGAATTTCTCTCAATATCAAGTAACTTCATGCTTTGCCTCATTGTTTCCAATTTCATATCTTTGCGAAGCATTATTTTCTCTTAATTAGGGAAAGTTGAAATAAATCCAATGATATTGAAGAAGACATCCAAGTGTGGACATCTTACAAACAACTGAACGTCTATAGGTTGGTTCATGTTTTCACAGGGTATGGCATGAGGATCAGTTACCTTTCAAGAAAATCATGTGATGACATATTCTGCATAAGGAACACCATTGAGCTGAGATGTATGGAGACTCACTTCCTCCTTTACTCCATTGTATGTAGTATTTCCCTGAACGTACTTGAAAGTAGTCTTTGCACAGGAAATTCGGCACCTGAGTCCTCAATTACATATGTACAAAAATACAGGCTGCCCCAGCTTTACTGTATTTGACTTTTTTAAATAGAAAGTTATACTTTTGTACTACTTCAACAAACTATGATACCTTACGAAAGGGAAATGCATAATTACTCGTATTTCATAGGGAGAATGCTTTGAACATGCAGTCCTGTCCAATGCAATGTGACTACAATAAAATAACAGTACATTGGATTTGTATTGTATTTAGGGTAACATGAAAATTCCATTGTATTGCATGCTTGATAATAATATCGCATTGAAGGTGCTTAACTAACACCTTATAAAAGCTTTCAATACAGCACTTTATTATCCAGTACTAATGTAATACAAAGGCAATCTGAAAGTGATGTCATGAAACAGATATACTCAGAGATTCAATAGAAAAACAAGCAAGAGAGGATAACAGTCTTCACCACCAAAATATAAATGACAAGATTTGCGGATTTTTCCACATTGAATGTAACATGGAATGCAATATCTGTCAATTTCATTAAAACAAACAACTTAAGCAAATGTCAAACATGACTAGTTTTCAAAATCTTAAAAATGTGGTAACTTGTTCACTCATTCACTTGCTGATAGAGGCAGAGTAAAGAGTTTCTTCTGGGGAACAAAACATGTGGCTTCTCACTGAAGTCCCATGTTTCCTGAGATATCTTTTGAAAGGAGGGAAGCACTGGAAAGATTTTGGATTTTGGATTGTTTTCTGCATCAGCCTTTCGATCCTTTTGAAATCTGTGTCGTTTCGGCTCAGTGGGATCAGAACGTCTTCCTCCTGTTTCCCAGATGATCCAGACGGTGCGTCTCTTGAGAAAAATGAAATATTGAAATGAGCGTAGGGCAGTAATGAATGGCAATGGTAAATATGTGCTCCCTCAAAGTAGGAGGTTGTTGATTAAAACGGCCATTGAAGGGAAAGGCTGCCTCTTAACTTCCAGGAATCTTACATTGGTGATCTATATCCCATACGAAGGAGTTTGCAAAAGTTATCCACTTTTTACCGTATGCAGTAAACATATCGGCCCGTATTCACGTCGCTCCCGAAACCATTAAGGGACTCCTAACTCAAGAAAGTTAGGAACCCCCTAGATGTCCCGTATTCACGTTCCTCTCCTAGCTAAGGGATCCTAAAACTCAACTCTAGTAGTAGAAGCTTCCAGTTTTCCTTACTAGAAGCCTACGTGTTAGATGCACTCTATCTCTGGCAGCACCTTATTAATTTTTCCCAAGTCATTTCGTCACTTTTGAGAGTATCTAAGGAGGAAAATCTCCCTGAAAATCCATGTGTTCTTTCAATCACGTTGCATCTTCAATCATCTTCAAGGATGATTTTGTCAAGTGAATCTTGCTGCTGCTACATAAAAGTCACGGCAGATCTCCACTCCAAATTTGGGGGGTAAACAAATCTGCTCTTATGATTGCTATTACTTATTGCAAGCAATGAATCTATTCTTATATGTTTTCAAGAGCTGTTTTGGATTTCATTGAAACGCCTTGTGGCGATTGAAGGCTATTAGTCACACTTCAAAGAAGTTGGAAACCATTGCAGTGGACCAGAGCGTGTGCTGGTAGTTTAATAAAGGAAATGCCTTCCTTCTGTTGTTTGTGTGCCATGCAGGTCATGCCAAACATTTAGTGCATTTAAATGCAATCGTTGGTTTGCCTTTTGCCGGATATAGTTTTGATAACGTTCTTTTAATGATAGCAGATACACAGCTGTTAATATTGAGCTTGTACCAAGGCCCATATTTGTCCCTCTCCCAGGAACATTGGGCGGATTGCATGAAAATAATGCCAGCATCAGCCTATAGATGTATTAGCTAAAGGAGCTTTAAAGTAATGCATTGCAAAAATAGATTTCAAGTTACATTAGCTAATTGGCATTAGCGCTTCCTAATGTGCAGTAGCGACTCCAATGAAATATATATAGGAACCCGCAAGAATGTGATCCGCTATGGCAACGCTCGAAAATTGATTTTTTCTTCTAATCAATGCCCGCAAAATTACGAGGGTGGTTCAAAAAGTAACAGGACATCTGCGACCGTAACGTAGGATATACACGCTAACTACTGCTTGTTAGGATACCAGCGCCATGAAAACGGTGGTCTTTGGCTTTGCTGCTGTCTCGTGTGCCTCCTACAGTTACGAAAAATGGCGAAAATGGGTCTTGATTGTGATCCGTTTTTTGATCGAAGATGGCGTGAATGGGAGTGCAATTTTTCGCTGACTCAGGGCAGTTTACGAAAATTGCATGGAAAGAAGCAATGTTTGCGAGTCGGAGCGAAAGTTTCAAAGTGGAACGGCGAGTGTTGCAGACGCGGCGCATTCGGGCCGGCAACTCTAGTCGAATGATGCGACACGCAGTGGAGGCGTCGATATCGAGTGTATCGGAAATCACAACCTGAAAGGACCCGCGCCCATGGAACCGAAGAGCTCATCAGATCTGCCGAAGTAGCGGTATCGCCTAGTTCTTCGTTCTGCATTCTACAGGGTGTTTAGAAAGCCTCTCCCTATTTTAAAATTGTGATAACATTTGTCATTTTTTGACTGAAGGGACGGTCTTCCGTCATGGTCTCGAGGTGGTGATGAAAGGAGAATGCCTTGGATGCAACTTCCCATTTTCTCCGCCTCCACCCCTGATATTGCGCAGCTACTTGAGCAGTGTCGAAGATGCAGGGTTCCAGGCACCAGATTCATTTTAACTTTAACCCTTTCGTGCATGGTGTCCACTGTAGTGGATGGCAAAAGTTTTGGCGATAATTATGAGTTTTTAGCCATTGTACTCATACCTCGAAACTTTTGGTGCGTGCAGTTAACTCAAGGGCACATACTCTATTCAATGTTGCTTTCTAACAGTAGAACATTCGACTAGTACGGCAGAGTACCTCCTTAAACCAAAAATAACATTTTCGTTTTGCTTTAAGAGTTCATGCACGAAAGGGTTAAACTGATTCATTTTCATATTGGGCGTCTGCGGGAAGAAGTTTATCTCTGTTAAACTGATTCCCATAAGGGACCATCGAGAGATCAGATTAGTTTAGCTTAAACGGATCTGGTAAATGTCGCCCTCAATGTTCGCACCATGGAGGATTACTGCAAGCAAATAAATAAATCAAATAATAAAATCTTACCACATTTTCTTCCTTTCCACACACAAAGCATTGTTCTAGTCCAAAATTACAAACGTTATTACCTCGAATAATGAAAAAACAGGAGTGACTTTCCAAAAAACCTGTAAATCGGGTTTAAAACTTTCCACCAAAAGGAGGATGCCCTGGGGGGTGAACCAGTACCTCCACAAATCTCTTCAGGAGTACTGCTCCAAGTAGATCTTGGAACACATGCTCCTGGGCGTCAAGTGCTTCAGCTGAGTTCGGGCGACCATCTACTGAATTCCTTGCTCATTCACTCTGCTTTCTTTACACCGGCGTAAACATTTAGGAAAAAAAATTAAAATCATCGTATGTGGACATCCTTGAAACAGTAAGTGTCGAGCCAGTGGGATGTTCCTCTTCGTGGCTAATGGAGGTTTAAAGTAGGGTCATCGTAGCATTAAACTAATACAGAATTTAATGCTGTGTTATGCTAATTTCTTTTCATGGAATCCACAGTAAAAATCTCCGCTAAAGTAGCTTTAACTCCATCCCTAATAGAGGTTTAAAGCTGGCATTTGGCATATGTCAGTTTCATGCAATCCAGCCAGTACATCGTATCAGTTAGGGAACCCCTAGGCTGGGATTCCCCTAAAATGGTATTCACGTTGGTCTGTTGGGGGTCCTTAGCAAGGGAATCCTTTTGGAAGGTAGAGGAGAGGGCGCACGCGCTGGCATGCTTTGATCTTGGTGGCTTCCTTGCCACACCCAGAAGTCAGAGGACCTCTACTCATGAATTGATTGTTGCTTTTTCTTTCTTCTTGAGTCTGATACTTTCGATGACTTTCATGCCCAGTTTCAGCACTTTCCTTGAATTAGTGTCAAACTCAAGTTAAAATGTGCCCTACTCGTCAGAAATAAAATTATAGTTGATCTCATATATTCTAATTATTTTGTCTATAAGATTCCGTTGCAGTGATTTTCTTCACATTAGCTTGAGTATCGGCCTAGTCCGAGGTGGGTACTCAACACTAATGCAGAACAAGGTTTTTATATTCAATTTTAAAATTACAATTATACTTTCACCTGCCATTAATGTTGCATCGATTATCATTAATGCAGTCTGTATGACAAGAGTGCAAATCAAATGATAAAATACTACAAGAGAATCATCTGTATCAGCGATATTCAAAAAGCGGTAGCTAAGATTAAGGAATAATTGACTTTTTCACATTTTGCTGTTTTATCGGCACTCATGAATAATAGCGATGAACAATTTCTATATCCCAGATTTGTAATATTTTGCTGTAAATTAGCAATTTTAGACATTGTTTAGATATGCAGGTACTCATAATACGTATTTACAATTCGATACCTATGTATTTAGGCGTGCACCTGCTGAACTTGCCTGAAATTTGAAGCATCCATATACTGGAGAGAAAACTGTATTTATGAGAAAAAATGAGTACTTATCGAAAGTACAACTTGAAACAAAGCAACACCTGGAACCGATGCGTTTACAGAGGCCCTGACTCCAAGTAGAGGCAGTTTTTGTGACTACAAGAGTAGAAAGTGCGTGTAAATGCGTCAAGAAGTGACAGTTTTTTTCTCCTCATTTTTAAGATGTGATTTTCTGTTTCAAGTTGCTTTACCAAGAGGTTAATGGCCAAATAGAGAGTTACCCATACAGAAATGTTGAATCTTTTTATTGCGACCCACTCCAGGTTGACTAACGTTATCTAATATATATAGACGATCGTGACTGACTGACGCTAATTCTAACCATGTTCTAGAAGGGTTAGAAATCTGAAACTTGGTACACATGTACCTTTTGGGATGCAGAGCTCAGAAAAAATCCCGCATTGGAGGTACATGTCCTGGGGGTACAGATTTTGGGGGGAAACGCTTGTCTGAAATATATTTTTTGACAGATGAGGATGTCATTCAGAGAGCCAGCTGGTAGTGTTGGGTTCGGTGGTGCAGTGGTAGCATATCTAACTGGCAATCAGAAGGTCCGGGTTCAATTCCCGGCCATTCCTCGGCTTTCTTATGGCTTTTTTTTGCCTTCCACTTCCCGTTACGCATTCCGCCTCCATAACATTATTTTTGTTTGAGTAAAACGGAGAGTCATGGAAAGCTAAAACTTGGTATGGACCTGCCTACCGAGGCGATTAGTTCAGGAAAAATGCAAAATTTCAAATCCATGCCCTGGGGGCATATTTTTGTGAGCCGACGGTTTCAAGTAATTTTTTTTGTCCTTGCCTATTGAGCTAGTGTGGAAAGATGAAAATTGGTACATAACTACCTATTTGGATGCTGCTGAAAACTCCAGACTTTAAAAGTAAATCCACTGAGGGCACAAATTTCAAAAGGAGATGTTTTCAACTAATTGTTTTGGCATCAGTTAAACTGATGAACATGGAAAGCTGAAACTTTTATAATATTGAAACGTTGTGGGTATGTAGTTCACTGAGGATGGGTTTCGATGAGAAAAAATGGTACGTTTCGGTTAAAACGACTCAGGCCACATATTCCCGAAAAGGCGTATTTTCACAAATTTCAAAAGGAGATGTTTTCAACTAATTGTTTTGGCATCAGTTAAACTGATGAACATGGAAAGCTGAAACTTTGCATGAATGTGACTACTAAGACAAGGAATTAAATAAAAATGTTAAGTTCGATACATCCCCTAAGAGAATTTCTTCGTGGTTTTGAAAAAATTGTCGTGGCGAATTGGAAAGAAATTGTAAGGTGAAACTTGGCACACGTATAAGTGACACGATATTACTGAGCTGAAGGAGTATTCAGCTTTCATGGAGCATCCCCTCCGGTCATAGCGTTAGGTTGGGTCGGCTTTTCCAAACATGTTTTTCCACCAGCGAAAAGGGCAAACGTATAATATTGAAACGTTGTGGGTATGTAGTTCACTGAGGATGGGTTTCGATGAGAAAAAATGGTACGTTTCGGTTAAAACGACTCAGGCCACATATTCCCGAAAAGGCGTATTTTCACAAATTTCCTGATCCAGCAAAACAGAGGGCGCATGAAACTTAAAAACTTGGGAAATAATTACATGATATGATAGCTGTGTAAAGAAAAAATTCTACTTTTCTAACATATATAGATGATCGCGACTGACTGACGGTAATTCAAAAAGGGGAAACGTATAAGGCTTAAACTGGGTGGCATGGAGTTCCCTGAGTCCCCATTTCAGAAGAAAAAATAATAAAAAAAATCGTCTATATATTATTCCTTTCAAGTCGCGTCACTCATTCCCCCTCTGTAACATTTTTTTGTTTTAGTGAAATGGAGAGACATGGAAAGCTGAAACCTGGCATGGACGTGCCTACCGAGACGATGAGTTCAGGAAAAATGTAAAATTTTAGATCCATGCCCTGTGGGGGCATATTATCAGGGGCCGACGTTTTCAAGTATTTTATTTTTACCCTGGCGTATTGAGCTGGTGTGGAAAGATGAAAATTGGTACAGAACTACCTATTGGGATGCTGCGTGCAGAAAAATTCAGACTTTGGAAGTAAATGCCCTGGGGGGGGGGGGCACAAATTTCAAAGGAAGATGTTTGATGAAGAAGGCTGAGTACAGGAAAAATCCTACTTTTGAAATATGTCCCCTTCGTGTAGATTATAGGAGAGAAGTATTTCAAAATGTATTCTCCACCCTTACAAAATGGGACACATGAAAAGATTTAAAGTTAGGCACACTAGAAATAATAGAAGTAATGATTTTGATAAAATTGAAGATTTTCGTCCCCATAAGCCACGTATTTCAATGGGGGATGTACCTTAAATACGTGCTTGCCATTTCGCAGAGAATAAATGAATTAATCACTATCCGAGGTAATAGAGCGCCGAAGGCGCGACTATACCGAGTTTGTTTGCCCGAAGGGCAAACAAACTCGCTAGTATCATATATACCTGCGGCCCGCTCAAGGAGGAGTAAAGTGTCCGTGATGCCCTCGCTTAAAGAATTTCGGGGACCACTGATCTACATAGACAGATAAAAGAATTCGCTGAATCTAATATTAAAACCCAAACGCAAAGACATGAACCTGACGAGGAAATGCTGTTCTCCAGAAGACTGCACTGAACTCGAAGGAATCTGCTAAGGGCGGCTGAAGGCTCCCCTAACTTCCACCTAACCCTAACCATCCTAACTTCCACCCTAACTTACAACTTCCTATATCTCTCAGGGGCACGTTTAGGGATTTCCTAGCTAAGGGAGAGACGTGAATACGGCCCACAGTCCTAAGAATGTTTATTTTAAAATAAATTCTTACTTTTACACGACATCCCTTAAGGGATATATTTTTTTTTAAGGAGATCGCTATAAACAATTATTTTGTTCCAGCGAATAGGGGAAACATGAAAATCTAAGAGTGGGTACATCAGTTGCTCTGCTGCTGCTAATTTTAAGATACAGCCTTCTCTTGGACGAAACGCATATTTGAAAAAAAAGCAAAACCTCTAATTGCCTTTTTTTGATAGTTGAATATCATGAACACAATTATAATTATATGCAATGAAGTGCATATAATTAATGTTAATCTTTATCTTATGAAGTTTCATATCAGCTGTTGATGTAAAAAAGCAGAGTAATGGGTCAGAAATTGGCAATGACGCGGCAGCCCCTATCTCCTCTTAACCCCCTCAAAATTCGGGAGTCACATCGTTTCAACCATTTGTCAGAAACTACTTATAGTCCGCATCACATCTATTCCTCAATAAGGCATTGCATGTACCAAATGTTACGAAAAAATGTTTCGTTAAGCAATGGATCCCGTTGTTCTCGTTGAGTTTAAGTGGAATGAATTCGGGAAGCCCTTGACATCTCAAACTATCCCATGAAAGAGGAAAATGGAGACCGGAAGAATAACTCTTTTCCAATGCATTCAGCCAAAATACCAGATACGAATTTTCTCGAATACCCCCATGCAGTCACTAGTCAATAAAGATCATATGAGGCAGGAACATTGCCATTTATTCTCATTAGCTTACCGTTTTCTTGCTCCTTCTGAAGCATCCGTACAGTCCACAGAAGTACGATCTGTTTTAGCACGTTTCTTTGTTGGATGTGCCTTATTCCCCAATGCCGCATCTCCCTTTCGCTTTTTCTGGGATTTCTGGGTTGAACTTGCTTCGCTTGAGGACGACTCATCCTCAGATTCTTCATTTTCATCATGGGCTGTGGCTGGTTTATGAAAATGTATGAGCCTATGGTGACCTCATCAATGATTTATATGATTTCCATACCGATTTCAACTTGAAAGTTAAGCAAATATTTTTGAGAATAATTTAAATACATATCTCATTAAAACCTGCCTGAAAATTGTGGCAAAATTTCCTAAATATCGTTCGGCTTCCTTTTGTTTCAGGGAGGCTTTTATTTAAACATTCACTTTCAGAAGGGCATAGGGCAACTAACCTTGTGACTTGCTATTTTGAGAAGAATCTGCAGTCTTTCCACGTCGTTTTGCAGCAGCACCTTCTGAGTTTGAGGTCAGTTTCGCGTACTCTGTGATAATTCATAGGTCAGAGTAATAGCTAAGTAATTGTTTTACGAACAATTCAGTCTGCCATGCAGACAGAAAGCAGAGTTTGAGACGTCGTTTCGGTCCCCTCTACTAATGAAAGCCTTCTAGTGATGTATAGCTCTTCTTACTAAACGATTTTTAGACTTAAAAAGTATTCTGAAGATGATGAAAAAACCTTTGACATCTAATATATGTCGTAGGGTTTTGTGGAATTCAGGAGGATTTGGAATCTCCCTAGGGAGAGACAGGATTCCACTAAACACGCGGGTTTAGCGGGATCCTCTCAAAGTCGTGTCAATGTCAAGGCTGATTATTTAAGGCTGAAGAATACCGTGTTATAGTTTGTTCGCAACCAAAATTCTCGGATATGGAATCCCCCTCACACTTTTATTGTGGGTAGCCATAAAGTGATTAAATGGAATTGACATGTGAGTGCCACCCTTTTGGGAAAGAATGCACAGGATTGTCCGATTCTGTTGGAATACTCCCATGGCCGCCACGACATCCGTAGGACACACACGAAGAAAATGCATAAAAATCTATATCAGGCATTGACAATCCTATTTATTTTTATAACCCTTCCCATAATGGGCGAGGGCAAAACCCTAGAATTTATTGCTCAAAACCTCATCCGTCAAGCTTATTAGCCATCTTCATTTGGAAGTACCCGAAAACTTTGGTCGGGAATAAACTAATTGGCGCCGTGAGGATCAGTGAGAAAGCCGCGCCTGGTTCTGCCTGCCACTAACGAAGAAAGAGAAGCTTGGAAAACTGTGGTTGCGTCAACGAACGCGAAGGCTTTGAGGGCAGAAACAAGCTACGCTAGTGGGGGTGCAGGATCCATCTGCAGGTGCAACAAGTCTTGTCGCACCAACAGATGCAGTGTGAAAAAATAGGCATAATATGCTCATCCAAGTGTCACGGGGGAAAGTCGTGCAACCTCCCAAAATAAGACAAGTATATTGTTAATTGACTCCGCTTCGAATCTTATTTACGTCGATTTTTTTCTTTCTATACATGGACTGAAATGAAATTCCATTTGCCTCGGGTGTCTTGATAATTCTCTTTCTCCCTAGGGGTAAACAACATGATGGAAGCATTGGCAGCTACTCCGGGTGATTTGGAATCCCCCTAGGGGGAGGTGACATAATGGATGTTTTCGAGACGATTCCGCTAAACCCGCGGGTGTAGTGGAATCCTGTGTCTCCGATCTGGAGATTCGAAATCCCCCTGAATTCCACAAAACTCTACGACATATAAATATAGAAGATCGTGAATGACAGACGCTAATTCTAACCATGTTTTAGATATAGATATGATGAAAGGATGAAGCTTGGTATGTAAATACCTATTGGGATACTGAGTCCGGAAAAATTCCGACATTGGAGGTAAATGCTCTGGGGGCATGCCTTTGGGGGAGGGATGTTTTCAAATAAATATTTTTGCTTCAATCAAATGGAGGGACAAGGAAAGCTGAAACTTGGAATTGGCTTGATAACAATTTGATAAAATTTTCCCTCCATAAAAATGTTTGAAATAACCTGTGCGTAGTGTCAAAACTCCTATCTTAGAAGAAGAATAACGAAGGTTACCTAGTGGATGTGATTACACTGACAGGGATGGTGGATTGAGTTGGAAATATCTCATTACACCGATAAAGAATCTTCCAGAAAGTAGCTTCTCAATACGTGTACGTATTTGCCATGCTTATTCATTGGGAGCATAATAACCAGCATTTTTAAAGGGGCTCTCGTTCAAATATTTCAGTGGTCTTCATAAAACTCCGAAAATTCATGACGAATCATAATGTTATTTAATTGCTTAGCTGCCCTTGCTCTGGCTCCATAGATCTGAAAGTATGCCTTTGATTTACTCCAGGCGCCTGTTCCCCGCCTCTGCTAAACTTAAATTTGAATCTAAATCTAAATCTAAAAGCAGTCTAAAATAAAAAATGTATATTCTTTGTCCTGACCCGTTAGACAAAGATTTAGCCTTAGATTTAGCCTTAGATTTGCAGATCTTCTGGAAAGAATTTATCAAAAGAGAAAAGTTCACATATATTTTAATGAACCACGCACCATCGCTAAGGGAGTTAGCGAGACCAACGTGTCCTCGGTTCCGAAGGGAATCCAAGAGCGCCGAGAATGCCTCATCTCCTTTCAGCGGCACGACTTGACGAAGGAAGAGAACTTTCTTTGTGTCCTTCTCGTGAATGATGTCGAAGAACTCGTGATGTTCGATGAAACCTGCGGCCCTAATATCTTCCAAGACCTTGTCAACGTTGATGAAGTTAAATTCTTCTGCGTGACGAGCGATGATGGCCGCGATCTGTTTTTGTCTCTGAATCTTGCTCATTTTCAGAATGATTTTGGCTGTGAATTGCTGCGGGAGATCTTCAAATTGCATCACCAAAAAAAGCCTAATAGAGTCTATTCATTATGAGAGTGCAGTTATAGTTTGTCTCTGCGACAACATGTAGTTAGTGCAAAAGTGCGTAATGAATGCCACTGGTATTAAGTATTGACTGAAGAATGCCTAAAATATTGTAATACTCTTTACTCACCCGTGCAGGAAAAGTGGTACTGAATTTCACAATGCTGCTAAAGCACCATCATTTTACCCATTCGGATGCACCACACACAGCAAACATATACCAGAGATGACTGTTACCCTCAAAAAGAGTCTTTCGCGTACTGCGGTCTTATCTTATCTTTTTCTTCCAAGAGATAAGAAGCGCAGCCAACCCTCGTTTTCCTGTCCCTCAATATACGCCACCCTCGTTTATCGCTAACCTCTTCCTGTGAACAAATCTCTCTCTCCCCCCCCCAACGTTATAAAACGGAACAGTTGATTCGATATTGCGTCATCCTCATGAAAGCACTGAAATCGGCGATGACCAACGTTGCCGTTACGTCGAGGATTAAAGATAGTGAGATATTTAGTGAGACCTTCCTCATCATTGACAAAAGGAGACTCTGTACTAGCAACTATAAAGGGCGTTATTACCACTAACATAATAAAATCGATGTGATTAACCTCTCCTTGGAAGATGTACTGGAGAGTTCACTTGCACCCTGACGCCTAGGTAGGTATCACCTAGGTAGTGTAAGATATACCCAGTGATCGGAAAATACCTAGTAAACAGACGCAGTCGAACTCACTTTTAACGACGATTTTTCCATGGTCCCTTCGATGACGTTATAACCGAGTTCTTCTGTACTATACTTATATACGAGGGTCATTCAAAAAGTCCTGCAACTAAGTTTTGCTTCATGGAACTATTATATTTGGTATAGAACTGATTCACTTTTTGAAGTTGTCATTCTTTCTTCTCCAGCGTTTCACATTTGAAGATATTCAAGTGATTAATGTAAGAATGATAAATATGTTGACAAACCATGTTTTCTGTCTTGGCTCATATTTGAAGATATGAAAAATTACAAGACAAGCAATCAAAAGTGAAAGGAAAATCGAATTGCCATCCAACCAGCGTGTCAACCAGCATTATGACAAGAAATTCGTTCAAGTGAATCTGCACCAAGAAATCCAGAATTAGAGACCTGGTAAATCGGGTTGCCCAATCATTATGTAGGATGATTCATTCTTGCAGCTGTCATTCTGCCCAGTTTATCTCGGAATTGTTGGGAGATATGGTTGGGAAGTCTTGGATCATCACTCTACAGTACTGATCTTTCCCATTGTGTATTTGATTTTGATTCCTTTCTCAAGGAACCCATGGCAGGGACTCGATATTTGGACATACGGGAAGTAGAATGAGCCAGAGGGTCAGATGGTTTAGCAAAAACCACCTTACACAAGGAGTCAAGAAGATACAAAGACATTGGTAAGCTATGATTTAAGAGAAGGGAGAACATTTCAATTCTTAATAACACCGTAAGTGTGAGTGTCAATAAGAATTAGAGTTATTGGACCAGTCGCAGAACTTTTTGAATGGCCCTCGTACTCATGCTCGATTCACATTTGAATGAACGGATATGCTTGACAGGGCTAGTGGCTCATTTATTCAGGGTGTTCGTATTTAAACGCAATATAAGGAAATTGTTGCCGCCTGTTGTTGGAATTCAGGGCGAGTAAGTTAGCTCACCGGGTTGCATAACAGGAAGGATGAAATCTATCGTAGTTTGTTTCTTTGCAGATTTGCAACCCTGTGGGCCGTATAGCGGTCGCTGAGCTCCACTTACAAGCGGCGAAGTAGTCCCTATGTTGCGTTTTAATACGAACACCCGGTATAATACTTGCGATTGTAATGCTATAATAATAGCTTTGAACGTGCCTTCGGTGAAAAAAAAAAACCTTTTTAAGCATCCCTTTTCGATTCTATTACTAACAATAGGGTAAAACTCCTTGGGTCATAAGTATTTATTTGTGGGCTTAAGTTACTTCTGATTGCATGAGGTTATTTCCGGCTTGATGTTAGCAACATGACCCAAGCAAAGGTGAACAATTTGAACATCTGTGGTAGTGAATCATGCAATTCAAACCCTTGCTTCTCCAAACACTGAACATTGTACCTCTTTGAATTACTTAACATACATATTTTTTTTATTAATAAAATGTGTATACATTTTTTTGAGACACCCTGTATATTAGCTATTATACGATGGGCATCCATTGACAGAAGGGCAAGCCCTTGACCGACCATAGCCCTCTGACAGGTATATCAACATTATTTTGATATGCCAGTCTGATAAGGGGATCCAGGCGGAAGAAGGATATAAAGGAAAAGAAAGCTACGCTCTAGGCTAGGTTTTTGACGCTTTTCAATCCGTTTCGCCAGAGGGAGCACGGCCGGCCTAGAGCATCAACAGCTATTGCAACCTGTTTCTGCGGTCAACCAAGCATGCAAGGAGTATTAGATAGAACCTGGAAGTGCTAACCATTCCAAGGACAAACCCATCTGAAGTCTCCCTGCACATGCCATCATCTGTTAATGATTGGCTGAAGATGTCTCGCGACAAAGCTACTCGAACTAAGTTATAGGCCAAACAGCCAACAGACGACGTTCAGCATGTACAGTACAAAAATGATAATGCCCTAGTTGTCCCTGGTGAGGGAAGCCGTAATCCCATATATGGACTTCTACAAATTGACCTACACCCCGACTGGTTGCTAAAAGCTTTTATCCATATAGAGGTAAACAGGACGAGAAAGAAACTCGATCACCGGATTTTTCCTGACTTTGAAACATCTCTCTATATTAGGTATTAGACATATAATATAAATAATTCCCCACGAAACACACCCCATAGATGTGAAAAGGGAATAATATCGAATGAAACGATCCACATGTCAATGCAACCACTCTAAGCTGAATTCAATCGCCGAAAATGAGTTCGTTGACGAGCTCCTTGGAGTCGAACGCGCCGAACCATCAATTCTATCGACATGAATAAACGAAATTCAATGCGCGGCTGTGTGACTCTGCCTTTACTTCCACGGAATTAGATTTGTCTCCTGGAGATACTACTTTGGAGGTGTTGGGTGGGGGATTTCGGTCGTGGTCAGAAAAGCGATATTTGGGGCTTAGGTAGTTATCGATGGGTGGCCAGCGGCCGCTATGCTGATCGTCTAATGGGTGGAAGTTGCAGGAAAATGCACACAGCGTTCGTTGCGGCAAATTGCAGTCATTTCAGATTTAGGGGTACCTGCAACATCTGCTCGTTCGGAAGTAGGTCGAGCTGGACGCCTGCGCGCTGCGTTCCTTGCCCAGCAGGCTGCCCGGGTCTCCTCTTTTTGCGCTCAGCATTCGCTGCCTCCCGCTGTTCAGCGTTCTGTGAGGCCCTACGCTCCCTACGTGGAACATTCACTGCTGCGCGCTTTCCATCACTCACCCTAGCCCAACGATCATCAAGGCTAGCATTTCCCAAAGCATCGCTTTCTGCAGTTCGCACCGTAACTGCAGTGGAAAGCGTTTTCCGTGCTAACATCAATCGTTTCATCTGCGGCGACTGCTTCATCGCCGTCCTGTGCAACCTTCACCAACATTTATTCTTCGCGTTCAACCACACCATCGCGAAGATCAGCACGTACGACGCATTAATGAGGAGCTGGGCCAGATTGCCGTTCACGAATCGAGGCATTTCATTGTTCTATTTCCTACTGTCTACATTTTTCTTTGCCTTCAGAGTCTAACGCGGCCAAGTACTCACTTCGATTTTCTGCGTGGACTCGGAGTAGGCGAAACCCAGATACAACGGTCGACACTCTTCCCGATCCCGGATGCTCGGGACTTGGCACTTGCCGATCTCTTCTTGTATTCTCAGCCAGTTACAGGAATAACTTAGCACCACCCGGTGAGTGGAGATCATGTAGCCCCTGATTTAGTTCCTTAGTTTAGCCTTATCTTCCGTTAGCCCGTCATTCGTGAAGCCGCGGATCGTCCAATCCCAAGTTTTACCGCATGCTATTCTGACACTGGGTTCTCCGCTGGTGCTCCATTGTTCTTGAGAAATCTCCTCAAGAATGAACCTCCTCGTGAAAAGCAAACTTACTACATACTCTACAATTGAAATCGGTTTCTTGGTTTGTCAAAATGGGCCCATGAAGATCCTATGCCACCCCCCCACCCTCATGTCAGATTTCAGTCAATAGGAACCTTGATAAACGAGCTGATTAGCTTGACGATGGCCTGGGAATCTACGACTGGAGTTCCCACGGCACAGTTGCATCGAGTTCTGTTTCTCGTTATTTTTTTTCAATCCCTCGAAAAAAAGAAACGAAGCTGCTGAAGCTTTAAAATGTGTCCCAAATGTACGCATTGGAATCTTATGCTGATGGTGGTGGTGTTCAATCCAAGGTGTTCACCCCTTTCGCTGCATCTTCGAAAATTCCCGCTTGAAAGATACATGCATTTTCATGACCGTCACTGTCTCTTTCACATGTAAGTGAAACCTTAACAAAATTCGTTTTCTGGCGCAGCACTTCTGCACGATGTTAGTCCTTGGAGATCCTGGTGCTGCATTGCTTCCATACATCGTGTATCGACAGGAAATTCTCCAAATGCCCCTCGCATGCTATTTCTTGAAATTCACCCAATCATTACCGGGATGAACATTAAGCAATTTGAAATTTTGCAATTACTTACAGTACTTCCACAGAAAAGAAGTTCAAATTAAATTACTAAACTGCTCCAATTTCCCGATACTTTTGAAATCATGAATCCTAACGCGAAAAGGGAAGAGTCAATACTTTTTCCTTGTATGCGGCGAAGAAACACGAGTGAATTTCCCTTAGCTAAACCTGATGCCGCGTTATTCAAACCATAGGTCCTCGATTGCGAAGCAAACGAGGTCCAAGGATTAAACATATAGCGTGCACGATCCTGACTGCTAGCTAGACTGAGCGACAATGGTGTATTTGTGTGTGGGACAGATCCACAGGCCAAACGCTTAGAGATAAAACTTGGGGTTTTGGGCTTCCTCATTATCCGAGGATGTGCCTTTTTTAAATGAAATTTGCAAATCGGCCACACGAAAGGGAGGGGAGGCAACTTTCACCGAAAATAGGAGATTCGCTTTCGTCTCGCCATCTCTCGAAGGAACGAGGAGACGAGAGTTGCCCTTGTACTCGCAAGGGAACGATGGCAACGCTCACTGCAATGCCACCTGCTTGATGCCGGGAATCCAGGGATTTTAAGGGTCCATTATGAAATAGGGGCGATTTCTTTTTTTTCGCATTCGCATTCACCTTCGCTCCATTCACATGATTAGGTGCCCAGGGTAATCACGTACTATCAAATGAGACCTGCTGGCTTCATACAATTGACATTGTCCCAGTAGCACATAAACGCTTTCGAGGAAGTTGAACTTGTTTTCAGAGATCTTTGGACATCCACGGTACTAGAATGAGCAACTTTTTGGCGCTTGCACGCCACGATCACGATCACGAAAAATGCTGCATTTTAAGGATATTCGTCGAACATTTAAGATGTATTCCTGAAACATATTAATGGTATCCATCCGATAATGGCTTGAAGCAAAGGTTCGCACAACCGACGTTAGATCACGCCAAAGAAGTCGCTATAGCAGGTCAATTCCTGATACAGCTGGAATTAGTCCCCAACACCTTCCACAATGTAGCCGATCTTTCTCCTCGTAAACCAGAGCTGAACATACTCGAATTCTTCCACAAATCCGTCTTTAGAGGAAACCCGGTCTGAGGAGACTCCAGAGAACTCGAGCTCGGGAGATAGAGGGAGGATGGCTCAACTTCCAAGGTGACTTCATAGGAAAGTGAGTGAATCAGTAAAGTTAAAAATGCATATTATCGCTCCATGGAGAAGGGGATTCAGTGAAGTGTGTGTTTAATTCCTTAATATAACTAGAGATAGGATGAAAGTTTCCCGTGTAAGACTGAATTGCCCCCCGCTCCTCCGCCAGACTATCACAGACAATGAATGATAGTACCTTTTATCCTACTAATCGACTACATGATGGCTTTTAACACCAGCCACGGGAGCTGCGCTCTATTTAGACTGAATGCAATTTTAGTCATTAAAAGACCGTATTCGAAACGCTAAATGCATATCGGATGGATCCTGAAAGAGAACGTTTTATGGAAACCTTTCCCTGGAAATATCAAATTCACGTTGTTCAGAGAACGCATAATTTGAACTGTTTTTCATTGCTTTGAATTTTGGACACTTGTGCAGTCAATAGAACGTTCCCAAGGACGTTTATGGAACTCTGGTAAAAACTTGAGTGAAATGTTCATTGAACACGAACGGTCGCTACTGGGGTGGTAGTGTCTGAAGATCATGATGATTCCTTCCAACAGTTTATAGCAGGTTTACCTGCCACTAGTTCCTTTATTGTCGCAGGTAGCAATGAATTCGTTAAAATATTGGCACTTATTTGATGCAATTGACCTCCACGTTTCAATTAGTGAGCTTTCAGGCTCCAACTATTTATATTGGAGAACTTTCTTAAGGAATCCTCGTAACGTGTCCATAAATAATTTATAACGGAAGATTGGTGTGCAGAGTTGAACAAATTAGTCATGAAATTCTCGCATAAATACCTCCATATGTATCAAAATGCACTCTGTGTACCACAAAAGAGGAGCAGGCCTACAGCAAGGAATATAAACTAAACAAAGGAAGATGAAATGGGAAGGGCAGCAAGGGCCATAACAATGACGAACACGGTGATGAGAAGAAAAATTTCTCGAGGTCTTGTCAGCAGGCTATTGACCGTCCTGAAACAGAGGCGTATCAATTTCAGAAAGGAAAAGTTTAGTGACGATAATAATAACATTTGTTTCGAAATCAAACGATGGGCCCATGTACGGCATCATTCATAGCAGCATTTATGACCGTGGCCATTTGTGAAACTTTGAGCCAGAATCAGCCAAAACAGATACTCCCTACGTGTCAAAATTCGAATGCTTTTCGTGAGCAAGAGTGCTTTTCAGCGGAGGATTTTTCAGGATGGACATTTATACTTACGCTTTTCCATCTACTTCATCAGATTCCTCTTGAGGAATGACTTCAGATGAAGACACACCAAGCTCTAACTTTCTTGAATGGGCTGCTGGCAAGAAAAAAACGACAAGTGAAGCTACTTTATCTGCACGAATGTAGAGATTTCCTTTTGCAAGCTACCTCACCATGTCGGTTGCCTCTTTTTTCTGAGTCAACAGTCTCAGTTTGAGCACTTTGTGCAGATGGTCTGATGGGATCCAAAAGTAACTCTGAAGAAAGCAAAGCTTATTATATTTTCGAAGACTATTGCCTTATGCTTTTTTCTGAGAGCTACGATAAAATGATCACGTGCCTGTTGCATTAATAAATGGAATACCATATCAAAACATGGGCAAAATATGTAATTGAAATGTCACTACTACACAGTTCACAATTTATGCCATGATCAACAAGATATCGTACCGCACAGATGTGAAACGTTACATTACCTTGAAACCTTATTTAACGCAGCACAAACGACAGAGGTAGCAGCTCACCGAGATCCTGTTGTAGCCTTAAGACAATATCTTCCCTCCTCATTTCACTCATAATGTCCACAACTGTTTGGAAAGTCGGTTTGGGATTCCTTTGGAAAAGGATGAAGAAAACTGCATCCACTTTCCCATTGTAGGTTTTTTTCCTCTTTAGCTCAATTTCTTGCGCCACCGAAATGACGCCTTTCTCCGCCAGGGCATCGATGAAGAGGTTCACGTCTATCAGCGTGCTTTTGTCCTTGAACGTGCTCTTGAAGTGTCTCAGGGCTACCCCAAAATCTATTTCTACATGGAATAGTGTTAATAGTAAATGACCTTACATTCAAGGAGGAGTTTGTTTGGGACGTCATGAATTGTAATACACCACCGATCCCTAGAAATACGTTGTGTGAATGAACAAACGGAGTACTCCATTCGGACTTACGGGAGGGCTGGGCTGGGCTAGGGGATTAAGAACCTGGTTTCATTGAGAAAAACCCAGGGGAAGCTACTCTTTCGAAATTGCATGGTCATTGAAGCTACTACAAGTAGTAACTCATATTTCACAAATTACTTAGTGCGTATACCCTTTAGCTAGATAGCACAATGAAGAAATAACTCGTCCCAGGTATTTAAAAAAATTGACCCAGGTGCTTGAACTTCCGAGGATTTCTTCCCCTTATCTTAATACTAAGAGTGAGACTGTTTTACAAGATCGACTGCGAAATGCAGAAGAGTAGTCTAACATGAGAAATGTTCCATTTTTGTATTCGTTCCGCCCTTCTCCCCATTATTAGGAAAGCCAACCTAATGGCTCCAGTATAGGCCAGAGAACTTTGGAATTTCATAAATGGACAATTAAACCAAGTTGATCTTAATATTTTGGAAACACAAGGTAGTCATTACATTTCAAGTAACATCTGACAGCCAGGAAATCTCAGCTTAGGAATGGCAGAATTAAACTAGACATTCTTGTCAAGAAAATTCTGTAACGAACCTTGCGACTCGTTTTTAGATGCAACTGTAGTCGTCCCGTGTGATGTCGCTGTTGCAACTTGCAGGCTGGATAACGTCAGTGCAGCAAAATCTGTTATAGGTTGCAGTTGAACGTAAATTCTTGGCAATGCAATGTTTTATCTAATAAGTGTAGACGAACGTGACTGAGTGACTGACTAACGCTAATTCTAATTATGATCTAGAGAAGTTAGAAATCTGAAACTTGGTACGTAGGTACATATTGGAATGCTGCATTCCAAAAAAATCAGACTTTGGATAATGGACACAAAAATTGATTTAATATACTTGTGGCAGAAGGGAAATTAAAATAGGTACTTCTGAGGCACGATGGCATGTTTGAAAGAACACCATACATCAAGCCATGTAAGGTACCTATGTAAATATCATTAATTGCTTCAGGGGTTCACTTCACTTTCCCATATTTCCAAACTTCATGTATCTTTTTTCCAATTAACTGTTACTACGATTCAACCAGGATACGCCGCTTCTTGCTGCGATGGTAACAGAACTCAAACTTTATTTTTGCGATTTTTGCTGCCCTCGCTTTGGTTTTCACCCTTGTCTTTCGGGAGAAAATATTTAATGAAGAACGGAATATAAGCTCACGAATGAACTCACCACGGTGGAGGGATTTAGCGAGAGCAATGTGTCCTCGCTTCCCAAGGGAATCCAGGAGCGCCGGGAATGCCTTGTCTGCTCTCAAGGGCACGATATTCTGGAGGAACAGGAGTTTCTTTTGGTCGCTCTTGCGGATGGTGCCGAAGAACTCGTGACGTTCGATGACACCCTGGGCCCTCATATCTTCCAAGACTCCATTAATGTTGATGAATTTCAATCCTGTGACGTGGCGCGCCAGGATGTTGGCGATCTGGCTCTGTCTCCGATTCCCATCCATTTTCAGACGGATTTCTGTCGTGGAGCGCTGCCCAAAACCTTTCCAATCGGCACCCGCTAATTCCCAAAGCGGAGTTTTGGGCGCTTACTTGCATTTGACTCTACGAAAAGGCGAAGCCGCTGTATAATGGATTGTGGTTTGCATTGGTGTGGCGCACGACCCGAAGTACTTCATAATAGCGAAAGATTACACGCTCACCTTCGCTGAAGCAGGATCGCTAATGTTCACAATTTTGCAGAAGTATCACCATTTTACCGAATCGATTATTACACTTGCCGCAGTCAGTGTACCAGGGATGACTGTCGCCCTTGAAACGAATGATCCATAGGACTCTGGGTGCATGTTTCCTCTCTAGAGATAAGAGCGTACAACCCACCTTTATGGAGCGACGTTGGAGGGCTTTTGCCCCAACATAGATTAATGGCTACCTGGCTACTAGAAAAAAAAGGTCACTCAGTATGAATAACATTTTCCTTGCAAAATACACACTCAGAAGTCCACTCGGACCATTATTGTCTCCAGCTAGCGTGAACCCTGTTGGATGGAAATTCTTGAGCTATATACTCGCCAATTACTTTGTAATTATATTACTGTGTACAGGAAGGTTGTTACACCAGTTTCTAGTTTTCTATTCGCGTAACCTTTATCGTTATGACATTCTAGGAGCCAAAGATGCATAGAAAATGTGGAAGATTCTTTTGGAGGTTCCTTGCTCAGGACTTGACATGTCCGATGTGACATTCATTCTCATTAATGGCTGTTCTGCAACTGGAGGGGCCACGTAGATGAGGCTAGGCGCTAATTACAGTAGACTCGTTTGGGGCTCGGCAAAGGTGGCTCCCCGTGGCGAAAGGGTAAACCGATTAGTCGTGCACAAATATATTTTCTGTTGGCCGGTAAAATTGCTAAGACCGTCATAATCGTATTCTGTGCGTCCTAACGTTTCCAATGATACTGTTACGGAGGGAAGGTGAAGACGGACGACGGAGGGAATGAGAGGTCGAAAGAAGCCAGGGAAAGGCCGGGAATTGAACCCGGGCCTCCTGATTCCCGGTCAGGTGTGCTACCATTACACCACCGAACCCAGGACATTCAGTCGAGCCTCTCGATGCCATCCTCATCCGTCACAATACCAAGCACTTGGTAAACAACCCAATTTCAGATGCATGTGATGCCGCAGCCTCTGCTCACGCAAAATATGTGAGATATGATTGAATGTGAACACGCGCCCCGCCATAATAGCAACAGCAGGGACAGCGGGAGTGCAAAGCCGTCCGGTTTTTAAGCGGGAATTTGTGGATGACGTCATAATGGTCATTTTCTAAGTCGATTTGCTAAAATTAGTTGGGAGAGGAAGTGTCATTGTGGAAAGAAGTGACGAATGGAGGCGCAGAAATCCATCCACAGGTCGGGTGTGGTCCGATGCGCGAGCGCCAGACGTACTCGATCGAGTCCTTTTCGTACGTCTGGACACTCATGCGGCCGACGCGTCGGCGCATGTCTCTTTTGATGAAGGACCAGTACGCCTCGATATTCTCCGTATGAGTTAAAGGATCATTTGGTTTCACGAAGCTACGCCGGTTTTTGACCACGTCATGTTGAAAACCATGTTGCGCGAGGCGTCAGTATGCCCTCCAGGCGTCGGTCTTGACGACGCTCCCTGGAAGAACGTTCGCCCGAAGGATTTCTCGCAATGTCTCCGCTTTCCGGTTTTCTACTCGAACCAAAAAGCTGCAGCGGGTTCCCCTCTCGATCCCTCCCACCACCCAGTGGGTGGGTCGAAGACGTCCGCGGTTGTATTTCCTCTTGCCGCAGCAAGATTCCCCTACTTCTACGACGCACCCGGCCCACCCAATGGCTCCGAAGTCTCCAGCAACCAGGCAGGCAGGAGTTCCCGGAACTGACAGAGAAGACTGGACACGGTGTTTGAAGCAACTCCAACCTCTCGAACGATGACATTCGTCGGGTATTTAAATATCCAACAGAAAAATACCTCCAAGAAGGTCTTTATACGCATTATTCTATCCGCAAAAAATGTTCCGCTCCTCAGAGAGCACTTCCGACGGCAACCCCGGCCGATGCACCGGAACATGGGCTTTCGCAGTCGACCCACTCCACACGGTCTTGCTTCCCTACGACAGTTGCTGCAAGTCACGCTGGCGGTAATGAGTCCCATTTGAATGCAAAAGGGCACCAGTCCTACTATAGAGAGATGGGCTAGGAAACTACTTAGACTGCGCAAAATATCCACGACAATATGTCACGCCAGATAACTAATGACGAGTGGCCCTTTCACCTACCCAAACGTTTTTGGGCAGGATTATTGGCCTGTTCTACCCTTTCCTTTCCCTCAAGACGATAGAGATCACATCATTAGCTCGACTAAGCTTAGGTCGTTAAGGTGTGGCCCCTCCAGTTGCGGAACAGCCTCATTAATTCCTAATTCTCCGCAAACTGAGAGAATAATAATTTTGGAATACTACGTGAAGAACGTCTCCGTGCGAACTTCAGACTTTTATCCACGTTAATATCCGTCAACCGTTGGTGCATTTGGATTTTGCATGGGTTTTCAGAAATTCTAGTACAGAAAATCGTCCGTGTTGCTGAATACGAAATGGTACGTCGTTGTGAAGCTCGCCGGGAAGCTCTTTCTGGGACCGCGGATTAACATTTGTCGGGAGAGAGCGATATTTAGCGTGGTATACACTCGGTAGACTATCAGGACGAGCAGTTAAGCCGGATAATATCACGAGTCCCTTTAAGCCCAGATTAACGAAAGTTGACTGAACTGGCCATGCGGCGTCATTTTTTTTAATTATTGAATTCCAACTGCACATATATTCTCTTGTTAGTCAGCGGCGACCGCAAGTACAAATCAAAGACTGACAATCAAGAAAAAGGAGGAGAAATAAAATAGTACCGAATAATAAAAACATTACATCTTTTTTGCTCAATAAAGTAGCATATCCTCAGGGGGGTTCCGGGTAAATGCGATGACCATAGGGCAATAACGAAGAAGGGAATCGTCCATAAATTAATTACGAGCAATGCAGATAAGAAACCATATGTCGTTTTCCCTCCCTAAGGTCAACGTGCGGTGAGTGTAGAAGAGCAGAACGTAGAGCATTTGTTGACCTTGTGAGACATGGTCAAGATTCCTGAATAACTTATTCTGCTTAATAATGTATTTAACACTGGCTGCGTCGAATGACGCCAGCACGCCTTCAAGTTGCAGTGCTGAACCGATGATACTTGTACTCACCTCCGAAAGCGCGTATCATGGGACTCGGTTCGATTTTCGTGCCGAGGAAGCGGAGCATGCCACAGAAACGCAGGTTATTTTGCAGAATATTCCATTATACCTGTAGGTCTTCCTGCTTTCATTCCTTCTGCTAGTCCCTTCAAGTATCTCTATGCACGTAAATTCACTGAAAAAATATGTTGAAGATGTTATCAAAATGTCTCGCCGATCCACAAGATGCGGATCAGAAA